CCCCCTTTTCTTCTCTGCATACCTAAAGAGTAGTATCTGTAAGTTTGCAAGTAAATTCTGTATCTGCTGAGATGGATGTGACCTCCCAATCAGCAGCTGAATCGGACGTCGTCAACGCTGTCGCCGCCGCTGCCGAGCAGACGGAGGCGCCGCCGGCGTACATCTCGATGGTGGATCCGTTTCTGGTGGAGGCTCTTCAAAACCCTCGTCATCGATTGACTAGTGGGTTCTTATTACCTTTTCATATGGCTCCTGTATTTAATTTGGGGTTTTCTGTTTTGTGGGCTGGACAGCTATTACTTACTTGTTTTCTTGATGTATGTGTAGTTGGGATGCGTAGTTGTTGTATGAGTTAGGGTTTGGAACATTTTGGAGTTTGATGCTCTACCTAGATCTGATGGGGTTTGATTTTGTGAATAGAATTTTAATTGTTATTATCTTTTTTTTGGTGGGATTTTAGTTTGCTGAATTGATGTAGATCTGAGGTGGGGAAAGATGGATTTTGCTTGATTGAGTTTGTTGGTTTTCTGAAATGGCAAATACTGATAAATAGAGTATGTTTTGATTAATAGAATTTGGGAATGCTAGCCTTTGGTTGCGGTTAGTTAACATCGTTAGAGCTTATTCATAAATCGGTGGTTGGTAGGATTTATTTCTGGTTGAATGTTGTTGATAACTTGATGTTTGGTAGTAAATCAAGCTGATTTGATAGTAAATGTGGTGTGGTTCAGCTTAAATAAGCAAAATTAGCATTGAAATTTGTTTTTATGTTTATTATATCTCTCAATGCCTATGTTACCCGGACTCTTCTATTTAGGAAGAATACCCGTGTCATGTTGTGTCGACACTGGTGTGGGTATGAGTGTCGGGTGTGGCATTTTAGCTTAAAATGTTCAAGATTTCTAAACTATTGACGAGTCGGACGCTCATATCTCCATACCCGATACATACCCATATCCGAGTCCAGGTAACATAGCTCAATGCTGTTGATTGGATGGTCTTGATATTCCACATGCCATGTATTAACATTCTGCTTGAATTCTGTACTTACAACTAAATGATTTACCAAACTGATAGACACTACAAAACAAGCAGCATAAAATTAATTTAAATAACTACACCACGAAAAACTATGTCGTGAGCGAATTTCAACATTGTCTTATCTCCATTTCTTGATATCAAGATGCCCTTTAATTCCAAAGTGCAGCTATGTAACCCGAACCCTGTGATTGGTGAGATCTTTATTTGCTAGCAATCATAATACATTAGGTCGTTTTTTTATTGCATTTCATAAATAGATTCGATTTACATACTAATTGACTTTTCTTCACGTACTTGATTTTATCAGTTTTGCGTATGGAGCTCGATATCCAGAAATTCCTTCAGAATCCCGATTTACAGCTGTTCGAGTTTCCACACTTCCCTACTTCTTACCTCCGTCTTGCAGCTCACCGTGTTGCTCAACACTATGGTCTACAGACTATGGTTCAAGATACATCTGCAGATGGTATACGAATTTTGGTCATAAAAAAACCAGATAGCAAATTCCCTTCTGTTACCCTGTCTGATGTACCAGCTAAAGAGTCGGAAAATGACAAACTTGACAAAATTAAGGTTGTCCTAAAGCCTAGGCCCAAAGCTTCCTCGAACGATGCCAGTGAGTCGGGGCATAAACGAAGCCCTGTGAGATCTGTGGAAGAGAGGAAGGAGGATTATGACAGAGCACGTGCTCGGATTTTTAGTAGCTCTGAGTTGGGAGATGTTTCGGCCCAAGTTGTTTCGGATGGAAAGAGTTTAAATAATTCCAGTGAGGAAGAAGTTCGTAGAATCGTTGGTGTTGATGGGGACAAAAGCGTCAAGGAAATAAGTTGTGTTTCGAGGGTAGCGATTTTTAGGGATAGAGAGAAGGACCGAACGGACCCTGATTATGATCGAAGCTATGACAGGTACACTTTTAGTTTTAAATTGTGAGTGGATATGGATTTGATTTGGTTTTGATTGGTTTTTTGTTAACCATAGTTAATTTTGAAAAAGTGGTTGAGTTAGGTTTGAATGGAATTTTGAGTTTTTTACTAAAATAATATTTCAAATAGAATAATTAAAGTTGATTTGATATAAAAGTAGGAGAAAAGTGATTGGAAGTGATATGTAGTTAAAATTATGCAAGTAGATAAATAGTGAATTAAATAAAATTGATGTGATGTGTAAAAATGATTGGTTGATATTACTTAATTATATTGATAATATCAAGGATAATGGGGTGGGTGAGTTTTGATTAGTTTTTTTAAGTTGGTTTGATATACGATCAAACCCTTAGTAACTGATACTGAAATTCCACGATTTTGTGAATTTCTTTAGAATCTCGATAACAGAATATTAATGGATTGCAGTTAGATTCGGCTGCAGAGGCTTATCTGTTTTTAAAGGTTAATAACCAAAAATGCGCCCTCAAAGTTTAGTCAAACTACGGAATGTGGCAGCCATTTTCGAAAAGCTGCATTTATTATTATCTTGATATTTTTCCTGTTCTGCAGTTTGTGTCCCTACTGGGGTGTTATTTTTTTGGATAATCCAAACCTCAAAGTGTTCTGGTGTTTTATAATTACAAGAGATGTGTTCGTTTCATTTTTTAACATTCATCCTGTTGATCTGAATTTTCTTGATGGGGCAAATCACACTGACAGTGAGTGAAAACATAGTAAATGTATTTGGTTGATGTTTTATCCGCCTATATTTCCTATTTCTGCTCTTGCGTCAAATGAAAACTCTACTTTTAGTTTCAGTATTCCACCTATTTGGATTAATTTTTGTATTTTGTTTAATTTTGTGTAATTAATACTCTTAATCACTGAATAAAGTAAACCTATAATTTGAGTCAGGCAGAGGGAAACAACCCATTATAGATGACGAAACAAATATCATAATCATAACTAGGTCAGACTCAAGAACCTCATTTATAATTACCCCTTTTTTTTAACAAGCTCCGATGATTTAATGGACTTCAAAATATATTTTAAGTCTCATTCACTTTTTGACGGTCTGTTGTAAAATCTCTCATGTTATATAGTCCATTTACATTTTTTTTTTTTTTTTTTTTTT